GTGAGATCATGACCTGAGCAGAAGTCAGACGCTCAACGGACTGAGCCACCCAGGTGCCCTGAAGTATAACTTCTAATAGGAAAGAGAAGTACTGAAATAAGTAGATAAAAGCAGTATACTTTTGGGGCGCCTGGGTGGCATAGTTGGTTGGGCATCCAACTTAGGCTCAGGTCATGATCTCACGGTTAGTGGGGTTTGAGCCCTGAATCCAGCTCTGTGCTGACGACTCAGAGCCTAGAGCCTGCTTCAGGTTCTGTGTCTCCCTCTCTCACTATCCCTCCCCTACTCGTACTCTGTTGCTCTCTCTCTCTCTCTCTCTCTCTCAAAAGTAAATAAACATTTAAAAAAAAGCAGTATACTTTTGCATTTCAATTAATCAGAAATGATAACTGAAACTTAGCATAATAATATGATTCAAATTTTGTGAAAAAAATGTGACTTTACATATGTGTTTATATACACCTAGAAAAGTATGTGGATAATGAGCAAGCTGCTGGCAGTTGTTACTTCTGGGGTGTGGGGTTAGGGTATAAGAGGAGACTTTCCATTTTTGACTTTGACTTATGTCTTTCTGTATTGTTTGAATGTTTTGCAGTAAAAATGCATAATATTTCTAATTTTAAAAAGTCAAGAGAATTGGTTGAAACAAATGGTTTCTGTCAGTGTATTTAATTGCTCTAAGCTATTACTCTAGTTTCTCCAAAGTTCCAAAACTCTCATGGGAAAAACCGAAACTTATAAAAAGTTCAGTTATTCTGGATTTTATTATCTATTAAATAATGCCTTTTTACTCCATAATAATAAATGTTGATATTCAAAGGTAAGAGCAGAAGACATACAATATATACGTGATTAATATGAAAGAAGAACTGAGAGCAGTAAACCTCAGCCCCCCCTTTATTTAAGACTCAGTCACATAATCAAGATATGACACTATGAAGAACCCATCAATATACTCTCCAAAATACTAAAAGATTTGGTTTTCCCCAGCCTCAAGACTTCCCCCAAGCATTTTCAGGCAGATCACCCAGAAACCACTTTAATTACTTCTGTGATTCACTCTTTACTGGTTAGTAAGTTTGGGAGTTCTGATCTATTCTTAGCATTCCTACTGCTTTTCAGCAACAGAATCACTAATGTCTGTTTAATGACCCTCTTTTCTTTTAACATAGACTAAATGACTTGTCAGTTTTCTCAGTAAGATTTTTTACACTAATGCAAAGCTTTCCTCGGTTCATTTTTTCCGTCATATCCAGCACCGTTTTGATCGCTTACAGTATTTTCTGATCTCTGGCTTCCTTTTCCATGTATGAGAGTGTTCACATCAAACCAAGCTGTTTAAATATGATCACAATGTTATTCTCTGAACACTTATAATTACATTTACTTAAACTCTTGTTAATCATTCACTGAAGTATAACTTTTTCTACTGAACGATTAGAGAAAGTAAATATTGGGGTGCCTGGGTGGCTCAGTCAGTTAAGCGACCAACTTCGGCTCAGGTCATGATCTTGTGGTCTGTGAGTTCGAGCCCCGCGTCAGGTTCTGTGTTGACAGCCTGGAGCCTGCTTAGGATTCTGTGTCTCCCTCTCTCTCTGCTCACACTCTGTCTCTCTCTTTTTCTCTCAAAAATAAAAATAAACATTTAAAAGAAAAAGTAAATATTAGTCTCTTGAAGATTTTAGAATACCAATTGTCTTCTACAAATAGGTTTTTTTACATGACTCCTATCTGACAATGGTATTTTGAGTATAGAAGCTGTCTTTGGCAATTCTTATGTATAAGCAGTTTTCATCTTTGTATTCAAATTTGATTAGAAATGCCTGTCAGAATGCCAATCTTAACTTGTTTGATCATTATTTCCTATATTTTGTTAGAAGTGTCTTAGACGCTAATGGGATTATCGTATAGGTACTATGCATTAGCTAATTAAATGAATAATTGTGTTAAAATGTATTAAACTGTACGAGGTGCCTGGGAGGCTCAGACGGTTAAGCGTCCAACGTTGGCCCAGGTCATGATCTCACGGCTCATGAGTTCGAGCCCCGTGACTGTGCTGACAGCTCAGAACCTGGAGCCTGCTTGGGATTCTGTGTATGTCTGCCTCTCTGCCCCTCCCCTGCTTGTACTCTGTCTCTCTGTCTCTCTCAAAAATGAATAAACATTAAAAAATTTTTTTATTAAACTTCAAATGGTTTTGCCAAGGGCACACACATGTGATCTAACATTACTTCAATGGGACACTAAAGTTTTGAGCAAATAAAACATTAAAATCATGGAAACACATGGAAAACCTTATGGTTAATGTATGAGTCAGGGATAAATTGTTCATAGATTTTGTGGACAAATAAAATATGTGGATGGATGGTTCTGGTCTTTAAAAAGGCAAAGTGAAGTTAAATATCTGTGAGTCAGCATCAACGCAAGTGACTGCCATGGGTTTTAAGACTATAAATTGTTCTTTTCCATTGAAGCCAGGTAGCTGATTCATGTCATTAAACCTTGTTAGCTTGGATTCAGATGGATAAGATTTGAATTTTGGTTCTGTCAATTATTACGGAGTAAAAATCACATAAACCTCAGAGAAACTTCTCTGGGCTTCCGCGTCACCAACTGTAAAATGACTATGAGAGTACCTACCTGGCAGAGTTGATGTACAAATCAAATGAGACAATGTATGAAAAGTACCTAGTATAGTTTCAGGCACTACGGTAGGTATGCGGTATTCTTCTTATAATAATGATTAAGAATAGTATGATAGAGCAGTGCCTGGGTGGCTCAGTCAAACATCTGACTCTTGGTTTTGGCTCAGGTCATGATCTCATGGTTCATGGGTTTGAGCCCTACATGGGACTCTGTGCTGACAGTGTGGAGCCTGCTTGGGATTCTCTCTCTCTCTCTCTCTCTCTCTCTCTCTCTCTCTCTCTCTC